ATTTTTAAGCTGTGGTTGTTTAATCGACTGTAATTTGAACCATTGAAAAAAACAACCCTTACAGTGATAACAATTATCAGATCTTATCATAGATACATACCTAAACAATTTAAAACATGATTAAAACTACTTTATTTAAATCACACATTTATGCTGAATCGCAGATATCTTTATTACAGAGGTCACATGTGATGGACTTTGTTTATATTGATAAAAGTTGTATCTTGTACCTGCTTAATTAGATTACTAATGGCTTGCTTTATATTTGATTAAAAGTGTTAAATGTCAGCTCCACCTTCTGTATGCAATATTATATATCTTTGTATAACGGTCGTCAATTTTCATCTATTCTGTAGTAACTATATAGAAAATGAAAGTAGGAATAAATATTTATCATTAAGCTAGCTGAAAATCTACACAGTACCATTGATACTTCACTCTTTAAAGTCCAACAATTCCACAACAAAGGGCCAAAAATGTGTGACTGAAATTTGATCGACCATATATGGACCTCTTCTTTCCCCATAAGAGAAATTTGTACATGGTTTTTGTTTATGTAGTTCTAAAAGCAGCTGTTTGTCCAAGATTAATCACTTTTGATTAAAAAGAAACATTGCAAGCATGAAAAATATCATGTATTTTGATATACAACATGAAGTGGTTGATTTACACCAACAAAAACTTTATGACTAGATATGGTCTGTGTTAACGCTTGTATCTAAATTCAAAATATAATTTAAGAAAAAATGATTTCTTTGAATAAAGGACATCATTTTCATTTTACTTTTAGTCTATCTTTTCAACTTGCTGGTATGAAATAATTTTGTTTAAGATAAGATTTTAAGCATTTATCTTTTACCTTTTAGTTTGTTTGATGTTATTTCCTATTTGGATCGCTGTGTGTTTCACCGGTTGATGGCCCTAATGACCTATTATGTAATGATGGGCCGTTAAGATTGTAATAATAATAATGATATTAATAATAATTTTGTTTCAGGTGAATTAGAACAGTATGACAACACACGCCCCTCTGAAAAACGAAATTGTGTATGAATTTTTAGAACAATATGACAACACACGCCCCTCTGAAAAACAAAAAAAAAATTTTGACTTTTAAGAACAATATGACAACACACACCCTCTGAAAAAAGGAAATTGTGTGTGAATTTTTAGAACAATATGACAACACACGCCCCTCTGAAAACAAAAATGTGTATGAATTTTTAGAACAATATGACAACACACGCCCCTCTGAAAAACAAAGAAATTTTATGAATTTTTAGAACAATATGACAACACACGCCCCTCTGAAAAACAAAGAAATTTTATGACTTTTTAGAACAGTATGACAACACATGCCCCTCTGAAAAATGAAATTGTGTATGAATTTTTAGAACAATATGACAACACACGCCCCTCTGAAAAACAAAGAAATTTTATGAATTTTTAGAACAATATGACAACACACGCCCCTCTGAAAAACAAAGAAATTTTATGAATTTTTAGAACAATATGACAACACATGCCCTTCTGCAAAACAAAGAAATTTTATGAATTTTTAGAACAATATGACAACACACACCCCTCTGAAAACAAAGAAATTTTATGAATTTTTAGAACAATATGACAACACACACCCCTCTGAAAACAAAAATGTGTATGACTTTTTAGAACAGTATGACAACACACGCCCCTCTGAAAAATGAAATTGTGTATGAATTTTTAGAACAATATGACAACACACGCCCCTCTGAAAAACAAAGAAAAGAAATTTTATGAATTTTTAGAACAATATGACCACACACGCCCCTCTGAAAAACAAAGAAATGTTATGAATTTTTAGAACAATATGACAACACACGCCCCTCTGAAAAACAAAGAAATTTTATGAATTTTTAGAACAATATGACAACACACGCCCCTCTGAAAAACAAAGAAATTTTATGAATTTTTAGAACAATATGACAACACACGAGAAAACGAAATTGTGTATGAATTTTTAGAACAATATGACAACACACGCCCCTCTGAAAAACAAAGAAATTTTATGAATTTTTAGAACAATATGACAACACACGCCCCTCTGAAAAACAAAGAAATTTTATGAATTTTTAGAACAATATGACAACACACGCCCCTCTGAAAAACAAAGAAATTTTATGAATTTTTAGAACAATATGACAACACATGCCCCTCTGCAAAACAAAGAAATTTTATGAATTTTTAGAACAATATGACAACACACGAGAAAATGAAATTGTGTATGAATTTTTAGAACAATATGACAACACACGCCCCTCTGAAAAACAAAGAAATTTTATGAATTTTTAGAACAATATGACAACACACGCCCCTCTGAAAAACAAAGAAATTTTATGAATTTTTAGAACAATATGACAACACACGCCCCTCTGAAAAACAAAGAAATTTTATGAATTTTTAGAACAATATGACAACACACGAGAAAATGAAATTGTGTATGAATTTTTAGAACAATATGACAACACACACCCCTATGAAAAACAAAGAAATTTTATGAATTTTTAGAACAATATGACAACACAAGAGAAAACGAAATTGTGTATGAATTTTTAGAACAATATGACAACACACACCCCTCTGAAAACAAAAATGTGTATGACTTTTTAGAACAGTATGACAACACACGCCCCTATGAAAAACGAAAATTGTGTATGAATTTTTAGAACAATATGACAACACACGCCCCTCTGAAAAACAAAGAAATTTTATGAATTTTTAGAACAGTATGACAACACACGCCCCTCTGAAAAACGACATTGTGTATGAATTTTTAGAACAGTATGACAACACACGCCCCTCTAAAACAAAAATATGAAAAAAAATTTATCACGGAGATTGCTTTGTCAATAAGAGTGTTTTATTTGTAGCTAAAGTTTATCATAGTTCAGATTATATAATGTAGTAACGTAGCAAATAACAAGATATTTGTGTTGAAAGATAATGATAACTGATTGACTTACAGGTTAATGTACTCTTGTTGTACAATTGAGTCACGGACTTTACTCTTTGTACTGATATATATATATATATATACACCTGTACCCCGTAATACTACGTCAGTCACCTGTACCCCGTAATACTACGTCAGTCACCTGTTCCCTGTAATACTTCATCAGTGAAGTGGTAGCAGCTGTTGTAATTCTGGATTTTAATCATTTGAAAAGGAATATTAATTTAAAATTACAACAGTATGCCTGGTATCAATGTGAGTATATAATGTTCTTTTAGCTATGTCAACTGATAAGTTTATATACACCAATATTGAAACACTATGATGAGATATTAGTATCAAAATGTATCATTTTAACATGGATTTTACTATGAATTCTTTCCTAAACCAGACAATAGGCCTGCATCTATTAGTGAAGGGAATAAACTAGAGTTTTATGTCATAAATTGTGAAAAAATGAATGTTCAACTCCATGAAATTTAATTTCTATATTATCTGTAGATATCTGATGTCTCCTTTCCTTTTTTAATGTACAACTCTGACATATTTTCAACTAAATGAAATAATGCAGAAGACATACAGGTATATTTATTGAAATTGAAACTTGGCTGGTTGTCTTGGATTATTGCCCCATAATTAGAAAGGGTCATTGTTAGGCAGGGTTTAAGTGCCTGAGGTTGCTACCTGACTGAACAGTATATGGGAGGCCCACCACTTCACATAACCATATAAAGTAACTTGGGTGTAGTGTTTTCCCCAATGACCTAACCACTGCAGCACAGGACAGTTCGTTTCTCAGCTTTCTTAGAAACACAAGCCTGCCATAGGTCATAGGTCAAACCTACACACCTCACTTAGTTTGTTGTTGCTTTATGTCATTTTTATCAGCCAGAGTCATATCAGGATATATCAGGTTTGGGTGGTGAGGAAAGACAGAGTTCCTGAAGAAAAACCCCCACCTGTGGCCAGTACCTGACAACTGCCTCGCATATGTCTGCACTCTAACGGCTGACTCAGAGGTGGAGGGCTAGTGATAAAGATTGGTAGACACCTTAATCACTCGCCACACCTCGGATCAGTACCCTGATACTTGACTCTCTGACCTTCTGTAAGAATATAAACAGGGTGGAGTGATAATCCCATAATTCCACTACAGTGTAGTTTGCGGTAGTTAGATATCAGTCATTCAAGTTATGTATGTGTATTTTTATCCTGTAACTGGCACTGCCATGGTCTGAACACACCTGCCACATATATTTTTGCTGCATTAGGCAGTGAAGGAAACTGTTGTATGAACAAGTTATTTTTACGAAAATTCATAAAATAGCTGTCATATCTGTTGAAGTTTGGAGCTATAATTCTGCACATAGTAATTATTTTAGCTTACGCCATCAGGCAAACTTCTTTGTAACATCCACATCAGGTTACAAAGATGTTGAAGTTTTGATGATCTAATTTTCAATCAATTTAGTGTCTTAAAATATAAGCTGCATTTTGGCTTGGGACAGAAAGACGGAAGTAACTTGCCAAAGGTTCTCGCATAACGTTCGCCCTCGCCAAACGTTCACCTCGCCAAACTTTCACCTCGCCAAACGTTCACCCTCGCCAAACTTTCATCCTCACCAAAATACAGCCTTTATTTGAAGATACCATGTATTGTCTATATACTTGTATTCTTGTGTATCCTATATCATAGTCACTTTAGATACAGCCTTGTAGGACTATATCCTTATAAGGTGAAATTGACTATCACCATAGAAACAGAACCCTTAATCGGATTACATTATCTTGTCTTCAATCTTTTGTTCTTTTTTTTATTTAATACTCTTTCTTAATAACTGATCTCAAGGTTAATTCTTCTAGATTATGAATTGCTAACTCTGACAGAAAATGTTGCTTAAAATGTTGGCATTAGTCTAATGACTTAAAGATTTCTGATGAAATCATCATCATCATTGACATTATGTGATATTGATCAATAAATTTTTATTTTTTATCATTTTAACAGACCTCAGTTGTGGGGCCAGCGCCTTTCTCTGAGATGGAAGCAGCAGTACAGGAGAATGAACGAACAGATTACAGTATAAAGATCCCTCTGGAGACAGCCAAGGCAGGGACAGGTGGGCACAATCTTACCATATCTCCCAAAAATCCCCTTAATTAAATGACCTTGACCTTCCGAAGGTCACAATGGTCAGATATGTTTCAAAAAAGAGAAACTTAGTGATATATTTATAGCTTACCAGACGAGAAGGGCCAAGTGAGCTTATGCCATGGTGCAGCATCTGTCGTCCGACCTTGACTCATTCAAGGTCATAGGGGGTCAAACTTGTTATAACATTTTTATGACTTCATCTCATGAACTACAAGGCCAAAAGGCATGATGTTTGGCTAGTATGTTCCCTGGGATGAATCCAGATAAAGTTTGCAAAAAGAAATAACCTTGACATATGTTCAAGGTCACAAGGGTCTAATTTATTAAAAACTTTAAACAACTTCTTATCATGAACAAAAAAAGGCCAAGAGACATGATATTTGGCTAGTATGTTCCTAGGATGAAGCTCGACAAAGTTTGGGAAAATAAATTACCCTGACTTATATTCAAGGTCAAAGGGGTCAAATTTGTTAAACCTTTAAACAAATTCTCATGAACTAAAAGGCCTAGAGGCATGGTATTTGGGTGGTGTATATATATACAAGGTGAGTACTGCAGGCCCATTTGGCCTCTTGTTACCATTTAGCACCTTAAGTAGATCTCTTGGTCTTAATGTTGAAAGGGGTGTTTGAAGAATTGAGAATTTTTTCATTTGTAAGAAAAGTTTTGAGGCAATATTTTTATTAGGTCAGAATTACGTCCTTGTTTTTCCGCGGTCATGCACAGTTTCTCATTCACTGTGCGTAAATTTTCAATTCAAATGACTTCTTCACAATATCCAGGATGCTCAAGGTACTGATATTGGTCCTGTAGCATGCTGATGAAGGGCTACACTTTGTTCATCTTTAACTACTGTCAAGGTAATATGGGTCAAATGTGTTGAAATGCATAAGCAACTTCTTCTGAACAACCAAATAGCCAAGGGTCATGATATTGGACTTGTAGCATGCTTTTTCAACAAGCAATATGTCTAGAGTAATGGCACTGCTGTAGTGCTTGTATATAGAATATGATTTGAATTTACAGAAAATGTCTATATGTACAAACCAGTGTTCTCTATGTGAGCTGTAATGTTGGTGAGCATTTTATTTCGGCCTGTTTGACCTCTTTCATATATATAGGTTTTGATAGTCAGATGACCCTTAAGGCCAGTGTTATAGTCAGATGACCCTTAAGGCCCATGTTATAGTCAGATGACCCTTAAGGCCTGTGTTATAGTCAGATGACCCTTAAGGCCTGTGTTATAGTCAGATGACCCTTAAGGCCCATGTTATAGTCAGATGACCCTTAAGGCCTGTGTTATAGTCAGATGACCCTTAAGGCCTGTGTTATAGTCAGATGACCCTTAAGTCCCATGTTATAGTCAGATGACCCTTAAGGCCTGTGTTATAGTCAGATGACCCTTAAGGCCTATGTTATAGTCAGATGACCCTTAAGGCCTGTGTTATAGTCAGATGACCCTTAAGGCCCATGTTATAGTCAGATGACCCTTAAGGCCTGTGTTATAGTCAGATGACCCTTCAGGCCCATGTTATAGTCAGATGACCCTTAAGGCCCATGTTATAGTCAGATGACCCTTAAGGCCTGTGTTATAGTCAGATGACCCTTCAGGCCCATGTTATAGTCAGATGACCCTTAAGGCCTGTGTTATAGTCAGATGACCCTTAAGGTCTGTGTTATAGTCAGATGACCCTTAAGGCCCATGCTATAGTCAGATGACCCTTAAGGTCTGTGTTATAGTCAGATGACCCTTAAGGCCTGTGTTATAGTCAGATGACCCTTAAGGCCCATGTTATAGTCATATGATCCTTAAGGTCTGTGTTATAGTCAGATGACCCTTAAGGCCCATGTTATAGTCAGATGACCCTTAAGGCCCGTGTTATAGTCAGATGACCCTTAAGGCCTGTGGTATAGTCAGATGACCCTTAAGGTCTGTGTTATAGTCAGATGACCCTTAAGGCCCATGTTATAGTCAGATGACCCTTAAGGCCCGTGTTATAGTCAGATGACCCTTAAGGCCTGTGTTATAGTCAGATGACCCTTAAGGCCTGTGTTAAAGTCATATGACCCTTAAGGCCTGTGTTATAGTCAGATGACCCTTAAGGCCCATGGGGCTCTTGTTTATAGCTGCTCCAAGATATGTTGATATTTTGTATAAACAATAATGTTTAAAACGGTAAAGTTAATCGTGACAAGATCACATGTCACTAATTAGTGTAAATAAAGTAATAATTTTGTCTATATTATTGTTGTTTATCAGGACAATTTTACATTGGTGTTATACCCCTCAAGTATCTTTACAAGGTGCCATACCCCTCAAGTATCTTTACAAGGTGTCATACCCCTCAAGTATCTTTACAAGGTGTCATACCCCTCAAGTATCTTTACAAGGTGTTATACCCCTCAAGTATCTTTACAAGGTGTCATACCCCTCAAGTATTTTTACAAGGTGTTATACCCCTCAAGTATCTTTACAAAGTGTCATACCCCTCAAGTATCTTTACAAGGTGTTATACCCCTCAAGTATCTTTACAAGGTGTCATACCCCTCAAGTATCTTTACAAGGTTTCATACTCCTCAAGTATCTTTACAAGGTGTTATACCCCTCAAGTATCTTTACAGGGTTTCATACTCCTCAAGTATCTTTACAAGGTTTCATACTCCTCAAGTATCTTTACAAGGTGTTATACCCCTCAAGTATCTTTACAAGGTGTCATTCCCCTCAAGTATCTTTACAAGGTTTCATACTCCTCAAGTATCTTTACAAGGTGTTATACCCCTCAAGTATCTTTACAGGGTTTCATACTCCTCAAGTATCTTTACAAGGTGCCATACCTCTCAAGTATCTTTACAAGGTGTTATACCCCTCAAGTATCTTTACAAGGTTTCATACTCCTCAAGTATCTTTACAAGGTTTTATACCCCTCAAGTATCTTTACAAGGTTTCATACTCCTCAAGTATCTTTACAAGTTTTCATACTCCTCAAGTATCTTTACAAGGTGTCATACCCCTCAAGTATCTTTACAAGGTTTCATACTCCTCAAGTATCTTTACAAGGTTTCATACTCCTCAAGTATCTTTACAAGGTGTTATACCCCTCAAGTATCTTTACAAGGTGTTATACCCCTCAAGTATCTTTACAAGGTTTCATACTCCTCAAGTATCTTTACAAGGTTTCATACTCCTCAAGTATCTTTACAAGGTGTCATACCCCTCAAGTATCTTTACAAGGTGTCATACCTCTCAAGTATCTTTACAAGGTTTCATACCCCTCAAGTATCTTTACAAGGTTTCATACTCCTCAAGTATCTTTACAAGGTGTTATATCCCTCAAGTATCTTTACAGGGTTTCATACTCCTCAAGTATCTTTACAAGGTTTCATACTCCTCAAGTATCTTTACAAGGTGTCATACCCCTCAAGTATCTTTACAAGGTTTCATACTCCTCAAGTATCTTTACAAGGTGTTATGCCCCTCAAGTATCTTTACTGAGTTTCATACCCCTCAAATATCTTTACAAGGTGTCATACCCCTCAAGTATCTTTACAAGGTTTCATACCCCTCAAGTATCTTTACAAGGTTTCATACCCCTCAAGTATCTTTACAAGGTTTCATACTCCTCAAGTATCTTTACAAGGTGTTATACCCCTCAAGTATCTTTACAAGGTTTCATACTCCTCAAGTATCTTTACAAGGTGTTATACCCCTCAAGTATCTTTACAAGGTTTCATACTCCTCAAGTATCTTTACAAGGTGTTATACCCCTCAAGTATCTTTACAGAGTTTCATACCCCTCAAGTATCTTTACAAGGTGTCATACCCCTCAAGTATCTTTACAGGGTTTCATACTCCTCAAGTATCTTTACAAGGTTTCATACCCCTCAAGTATCTTTTCAAGGTTTCATACCCCTCAAGTATCTTTACAGGGTTTCATACTCCTCAAGTATCTTTACAAGGTTTCATACCCCTCAAGTATCTTTACAAGGTTTCATACCCCTCAAGTATTTTTACAAGGTGTCATACCCCTCAAGTATCTTTACAAGGTGTCATACCCCTCAAGTATCTTTACAAGGTTTCATACCCCTCAAGTATCTTTACAAGGTGTCATACCCCTCAAGTATCTTTACAAGGTGTTATACCCCTCAAGTATCTTTACAAGGTTTCATACTCCTCAAGTATCTTTACAAGGTTTCATACTCCTCAAGTATCTTTACAAGGTGTCATACCCCTCAAGTATCTTTACAAGGTTTCATACTCCTCAAGTATCTTTACAAGGTTTCATACTCCTCAAGTATCTTTACAAGGTGTTATACCCCTCAAGTATCTTTACAAGGTGTTATACCCCTCAAGTATCTTTACAAGGTTTCATACTCCTCAAGTATCTTTACAAGGTTTCATACTCCTCAAGTATCTTTACAAGGTGTTATACCCCTCAAGTATCTTTACAAGGTTTCATACCTCTCAAGTATCTTTACAAGGTGTTATACCCCTCAAGTATCTTTACAAGGTTTCATACCTCTCAAGTATCTTTACAAGGTGTTATACCCCTCAAGTATCTCTACAGGGTTTCATACCCCTCAAGTATCTTTACAAGGTTTCATACTCCTCAAGTATCTTTACAAGGTGTTATATCCCTCAAGTATCTTTACAGGGTTTCATACTCCTCAAGTATCTTTACAAGGTTTCATACCCCTCAAGTATCTTTACAAGGTGTCATACCCCTCAAGTATCTTTACAAGGTTTCATACTCCTCAAGTATCTTTACAAGGTTTCATACCCCTCAAGTATCTTTACAAGGTTTCATACCCCTCAAGTATCTTTACAAGGTGTCATACTCCTCAAGTATCTTTACAAGGTTTCATACCCCTCAAGTATCTTTACAAGGTGTCATACCCCTCAAGTATCTTTACAAGGTTTCATACTCCTCAAGTATCTTTACAAGGTGTCATACCCCTCAAGTATCTTTACAAGGTGTCATACCCCTCAAGTATCTCTACAGGGTTTCATACTCCTCAAGTATCTTTACAAGGTGTCATACCCCTCAAGTATCTTTACAAGGTGTCATACCCCTCAAGTATCTTTACAAGGTGTCATACCCCTCAAGTATCTTTACAAGGTTTCATACTCCTCAAGTATCTTTACAAGGTTTCATACCCCTCAAGTATCTTTACAAGGTTTCATACCCCTCAAGTATCTTTACAAGGTGTCATACTCCTCAAGTATCTTTACAAGGTTTCATACCCCTCAAGTATCTTTACAAGGTGTCATACCCCTCAAGTATCTTTACAAGGTTTCATACCCCTCAAGTATCTTTACAGGGTTTCATACTCCTCAAGTATCTTTACAAGGTGCCATACCCCTCAAGTATCTTTACAAGGTGTCATACTCCTCAAGTATCTTTACAAGGTTTCATACCCCTCAAGTATCTTTACAAGGTGTCATACTCCTCAAGTATCTTTACAAGGTTTCATACCCCTCAAGTATCTTTACAGGGTTTCATACTCCTCAAGTATCTTTACAAGGTGCCATACCCCTCAAGTATCTCTACAGGGTTTCATACTCCTCAAGTATCTTTACAAGGTTTCATACTCCTCAAGTATCTTTACAAGGTTTCATACCCCTCAAGTATCTTTACAAGGTGTTATACCCCTCAAGTATCTTTACAAGGTTTCATACCCCTCAAGTATCTTTACAAGGTTTCATACCCCTCAAGTATCTTTACAAGGTGTCATACTCCTCAAGTATCTTTACAAGGTGTCATACCCCTCAAGTATCTTTACAAGGTGTTATACCCCTCAAGTATCTTTACAAGGTTTCATACTCCTCAAGTATCTTTACAAGGTTTCATACCCTTCTCTTTTTGTTGGGATGTATTAGAAATGGACAATGTAGTAACAACAGATAATCCTGATAAAGGTAACAGTATTCTGATTTCTTGTATATGGTAAACATTGATGTTTGTTACAGCTCCTAGAACAGTCCGAGTGTACGCTGATGGTATATATGATATGTTCCACTCAGGGCATGCAAGGCAACTGATGCAAGCAAAGATGGCTTTTCCCAACACACATCTAATAGTTGGAGGTAATGGGATAATGCTTTTAAATACAGCAGGCCTTGAATTTAACTTTTTTTGTCACTTGCTGAAAACAGCAAGTGCCTTAAATTTGTACTTGTTAAATTGACTTTTTACTTGCTATTATCGCAAATCTCCATGTTCAAATAATGTATTACCTTGCTTCATCCAATATATATCAACAGTATAGAAGAACTGCTTTGTCCCAATATTTACACTTTGAAAATCAAAACTCAAAACAATTTGATTCTGTTAGAAATAGACAGGCACTCACAGTTTGCATCTGATGAATCCACTTGCTGAAAAAAGCAAGTCATTATTTTTCTACTTGCAATTCTTGGATTTCTACTTGCAAATAGCCAGTAAAAAGCCTCAAATTCGAGGCCTGTACAGTAAGGTTTACTTTATATATGTATCACATGTATACAAACTTTTTACCATTATGACTTGATTGGAAAAAATGTATTATGCTAAAATCTAAAACTAAATTTCCTGACATTGGGAATCAATTTTCTTTTTACAGATTGGCACGGTTGCTCACTTTTCGTGACATATTCAGTTCAGTGACTCAAATGTACCAACAAACTGACTCAATGTGTTGCTTTTTTTTACACAGTAACTCAGCCACTGGTTTTTTTTGACATGCCCACTCTGAGACTCACTTTCCTGGTACACTGACTCAGAAACTCACTTTTCCAGGTACACTGACTCACAGACTCACTTTCTTGGTACACTGACTCACAGACTCACTTTCCTGGTACACTGACTCACAGACTCACTTTCCTGGTACACTGACTCACAGACTCACTTTCCTGGTACACTGACTCACAGACTCACTTTCCTGGTACACTGACTCACAGACTCGCTTTCCTGGTACACTGACTCACAGACTCACTTTCCTGGTACACTGACTCACAGACTAACTTTCCAGATACACTGACTCACAGACTCATTTTCCTGGTACACTGACTCACAGACTCATTTTCCTGGTACACTGACCCAGAGACTCACTTTCCTGGTACACTGACTCACAGACTCATTTTCCTGGTACACTGACCCAGAGACTCACTTTCCTGGTACACTGACCCAGAGACTCACTTTCCTGGTACACTGACCCAGAGACTCACTTTCCTGGTACACTGAGGACTCACAGACTGGTTTTTTGGACACACTAACTCAATGACTGGATTTTTAGACATGCCCACTCAGAGACTCACTTTTCCAGAAATGCTGGCTCAGTGACTCTGACATTGATCAAAACTCACTTTTCACAATGTAACATATTCAGTGCCACTTTTTCATGACGATTTTGTGCACAGGTTTAGTAGCATGTGAACTATCAGTGACATAGTTTTTTGAAGTGTTTTCTCCACATAATGCTTTTATCTTGAACCTTCTGGTACAACTTTTGATCTCACATTTAACAATTTACATTTCAAAGGGATGTTTGTTTAAATGTCCAATCAGAAGGAACTGTATAACTAGTAATTTTTACAGTTAAAAATTCCATAATTTTCTTTCAAAACAACTGAATGATGTTATAATAATTATTATTATGACATTTTTAACAGCCAGTCAACACAAATAAGATTATAAGGGCCATCAATCAGTAAAACACACAGCAATCCAAAAGGAAACAACGTTAAACAAACTAAAAGTTATAAGACAAATGCTAAAAATCTTGAATGGGTATATTATCACAAAAGTTTAACATGGTATGTCATAGTCTATTATATAGACCAACATCTTTCAGGTAACCTAGAATTTTACAAATCTCAACAGTTTCGGAGATAACAAGTAAGTTTCACAATCTAGATACAAAAGGACATCTAATGTACCCATATCTCATTATTTCCTGAATTAAAATCCTTTTTCATGTACCATGAAATGGTGAAAATATCTTCCCTAAAACATTTAATACAAAGCTGTACAGGTTATAGATAAGTTGTTGACAAATTTTTTATAAAAGTTGTATGTTGTATTTAACATTACTGAACCTTTCTTGTAGTTTGTAGTGATAAACTCACTCACAAGAAGAAGGGAAGGACCGTAATGAACGAAACTGAGCGATATGAGGCGTTACGTCACTGTCGCTATGTCGACGAAGTTGTCAAGGCAGCGCCCTGGTCAATTAGTGATGAATTCCTAGTCAAACACAAGGTAGGTTTACATGTTAATACCAGAGTGTTAAAAATCTGGAAAGAAATAATTGATAAAAATGTGTTGTTCAAGATATCTATTTAAAGATAAAAACATTTCTATAGAAAGACAAGCAGTGACTGAACATGATAAAACTTTATAATTTCATTTAGATATAGATATATAAACAAATAGATTCTCAAGATTTTTATTTGTAAAATGCAAATATGTTTACTGATTATGAATATTCTTTTTTTCATTTCCCTGAAAGAAGAGTATACATTTGCTGCTTTGTCTGTCCGTCTGTCTGTTTCTTCGTCTGTTTGTCCATCCTTCATAGAGATAGATCTCGATAAGGAGAAGTGCAGTGTACAAGAACCATAACTCACTTTTGCATAATTTAGGAGTTATTGAAACATGTTGTATGTATTGGTCATACTAAGAGAATGTGCAGTGTACCAAATTAAGGGCCTGCATCTTCTTCATTACAGAATTATTACCCTTTAGTTATATTTTGTCTCCTGAAGAGCTGTTTTCATCAGTGTCATTGATACTCTTGTTTGTCCTTTTAAACAATGCTTTTACTGCCCTAGGTACTAAACCTGGCCATGTTATTGATATTTACACTTTTGGATATTTTAGATTGACTTTGTTGCCCACGATGATTTACCATATGTATCCAGTGATTCAGACGATATTTACAAACATCTTAAAGACAGAGACATGTAAGTATGATGTATTTCAAACATTCCTGTGATGCTGTCTTTCTTTTAAATAAGGTTAGAGTAGTTTGCCTTGTTTTTCAAGCCTATATAAAGAAAATTACTTTCTCTTGTGTTGATAGAAATTTTGCCCCTAAGATTATCAAAGGGAAGAAAATAGTCCAACCTTCTCCATCAGATTAAGTATAAAATTTAACACAGGTCCAGCACTTTGATATTTCTTTTAAAGATGATATTAATTTCAGTGAAGTGTATAACTATATACTGTATATTTTTGTGAGGCCCATATTTTTGGGTTTTACAAAACCTGCATTTTGTAGGCATTTTATTTTGAAAATATTTATCACTAGCTCAACCCACTTGTACTGAAGTTCTTAAGTTCATGTCAATATTTATCACCAGCTCAACCCACTTGTACTGAAGTTCTTAAGTTCATGTCAATATTTATCACCAGCTCAACCCACTTGTACTGAAGTTCTTAAGTTCATGTCAATATTTATCACCAGCTCAACCCACTTGTACTGAAGTTCTTAAGTTCATGTCAATATTTATCACCAGCTCAACCCACTTGTACTGAAGTTCTAAAGTTCATGTCAATATTTATCACCAGCTCAACCCACTTGTACTGAAGTTCTAAAGTTCATGTCAATATTTATCACTAGCTCAACCCACTTGTACTGAAGTTCTAAAGTTCATGTCAATATTTACCACCAGCTCAACCCACTTGTACTGAAGTTCTAAAGTTCATGTCAATATTTATCACCAGCTCAACCCACTTGTACTGAAGTTCTAAAGTTCATGTCAATATTTATCACCAGCTCAACCCACTTGTACTGAAGTTCTAAAGTTCATGTCAATATTTATCACCAGCTCAACCCACTTGTACTGAAGTTCTAAAGTTCATGTCAATATTTATCACCAGCTCAACCCACTTGTACTGAAGTTCTAAAGTTCATGTCAATATTTATCACCAGCTCAACCCACTTGTACTGAAGTTCTAAAGTTCATGTCAATATTTATCACCAGCTCAACCCACTTGTACTGAAGTTCTAAAGTTCATGTCAATATTTATCACCAGCTCAACCCACTTGTACTGAAGTTCTAAAGTTCATGTCAATATTTATCACCAGCTCAACCCACTTGTACTGAAGTTCTAAAGTTCATGTCAATATTTATCACCAGCTCAACCCACTTGTACTGAAGTTCTAAAGTTCATGTCAATATTTATCACCAGCTCAACCCACTTGTACTGAAGTTCTAAAGTTCATGTCAATATTTATCACCAGCTCAACCCACTTGTACTGAAGTTCTAAAGTTCATGTCAATATTTATCACCAGCTCAACCCACTTGTACTGAAGTTCTAAAGTTCATGTCAATATTTATCACCAGCTCAACCCACTTGTACTGAAGTTCTAAAGTTCATGTCAATATTTATCACCAGCTCAACCCACTTGTACTGAAGTTCTAAAGTTCATGTCAATATTTATCACCAGCTCAACCCACTTGTACTGAAGTTCTAAAGTTCATGTCAATATTTATCACCAGCTCAACCCACTTGTACTGAAGTTCTAAAGTTCATGTCAATATTTATCACCAGCTCAACCCACTTGTACTGAAGTTTCTGTCAGTAATTATCTGCTTTGCATTTCATTGACATATGAATTTGTTGATTAATGATAATTACAAATTCATTGACAATAAATCCCCAAGAGAAAATTTTGATTTTACAATATTTTACAGGGATATGCCATACATAATCAGATATGTTTTTCTATACTCCCTACCCCACAATGTAAACAACTTGTTGTGTTAAACATTAGTGTTTTTTTCTGAATCTTCATGATCAGTAACAAAAGTGCTAATGCTTTATTTGACATGTTGTTCGAAGTTGTTTTAATTAAAATTTCCGGACACTGTGAATTTGATTATCTGTTGTTCCTTACTGGTGTCCATCATCTAATTGTCTTTAAACAATGATTGTTGTCGCCATTTCATAAGAATTACTGGATGGATCTATCTCAGATTTTGATACTTAGATTCCACTTTGTCGCCTGGTGTACTTGACTGGTTCTGGCATTGATCAGAAAAGCAGAATGGCTCAAAGGCAGCTGTCTTGGATTCAGGGTTAAGGTTATCGCTCGAGAAATATTGGATGAACTTTCTCAAATTTAATATGTACAAGGAGGTTATTTTTACTTCCCAGTTGTGCCTTTTGATTTTGGGAGAGATCAGAAAAATCAACTTGCAGAGAGGCAACCATCTTGTGTTTGTTTAGTAGTTAAAGATTATTATCACTGAAACTTTCAGAATTTCATATAATTTAAATAAAGAATAAAGTAGAGGAAAGAGAAAAGAAAGGAAAAGACCCTGTTTTAAGGAACAAATAAAGACCAAAAAATGAATAGCACAGGATCACATTGGAATCTCTTATCAAATATTACCATATACATGTACCTTGTGTAAAAAAATCTTACAAATTGAATTTACAGTGTACTGATGGTCATTAAATATTTTCTAGGTTTCTGGCGACGCAGAGAACAGAAGGAATATCAACGACGGATATCATCGCCAGGATAATTAAGGACTACGATATGTATGTACGGAGAAATTTGACACGTGGTTACAGTGCCAAGGAACTCAATGTCAGTTTTATGAAGGTAATGGTGCTCTCTTGTCATCCTCTACCTTCCTGAGCTCTGCCTTGAGTTAAATAAACAGAGATCAGTTTTTAAAACGTTAGATGTTTAGTGATTGTTTTTATTCCATTTGATCAAGCCTCGCATTCCTCGGGTGAATTCTGATATTAACGAGTCTTTTGAGTACAAAGGAGTGAGTCCATCACAGTAGTTCCTCCGTATAATTGATGTTTATTGCAGAGCGTTATTTACATGTTTAGATGAGCCGTCTTCTGTGTCTTGTGGACAATGTATGGTGTAATTGGAGAAGAGATCCAATTCAGTATTAGTTAATTCAGACTTTGTGTATTACAGGAGAAAAAGATTCAGTTTGAAGAAAATTTGAACAAAATGAAAGACAAAAGTCGGGAGTTGATGGACAAAATAAAGGACACTAAGGACAAAGGCAACGAAATGATCCATCGCTGGGAGGAAAAGTCTCGAGAATTCATCACCAACTTCCTGGACATGTTTGGACGTGAAGGCAGAATTGTAAGTATGGATTTCAAAAATTGCAAGGCCGCAAGTCTTATTTGGTCCGGTTTTGGGGAGAACACAGGAATTTGACCATCATTTCATAACAGGCAAAGAAAAGGTGTAGCCCTTATGTGGTGCTGACAAACTTCAGAATTTTTAATCTCTAATCAATTTCATAATCACAAATTATGTAGAGCTGATTTTTAGCACACAATCTTCACTGGGTGGGTTGTCGTCTGTTGATATGTCCTTGAATTATTCTTGTAATAATGCTGTTTTTCAAAAAAATACTCCATGGATCTTTCTCAAATTTCATGTTATGTAGACACTCCTGATAATGCATATTATCAGACTAATCCGATACATGATATGACAGACAGTCATCCACATTGTATTTTGACATTTAAAGGTTGTTACCTCATTTCTTAAAAAATACAATAGAATCAGATAGTGGGCTATTCAAATTACCCTGCGTCTGTAGTCCGTCGTCCGTCCATCTGTCTGTCCGTAAACAGTTTTTGTTATCCATTTTTCTTGAGAATCACTGAATGGATCCTTCTGAAATATCATATACAGATTCTTCTTGGTACTTAGATATGCCTATTTCATTTTGGGACTGGTCAGAAAATAGGTCACTCGCCCTCCGCCTCTCAGGTACTCCCTACATGTGGCTGCTAATATGATGGTTCAGGCCTCTGTTTATCACTCGCCCTCCACCTCTCAGGTACTGGCTACATGTGGCTGCTAATATGATGGTTCAGGCCTCTGTGTTTATCACTCACTCTCCACCTCTCAGGTACTGGCTACATGTGGCTGCTAATATGATGGTTCAGGCCTCTGTTTATCACTCGCCCTCCACCTCTCCTCTCATGTGGCTGTACAGGCCTCTGTGTTTATCACTTGCTACATGTGGCTGCTAATGGTTCAGGCCTCTGTGATGGTTCAGGCCTACTGGCTGTTTATCAGGCCTCTGTGTTTATCACTCACCCTCCACCTCTCAGGTACTCCCTACATGTGGCTGCTAATATGATGGTTCAGGCCTCTGTGTTTATCACTCACCCTCCACCTCTCAGGTACTCCCTACATGTGGCTGCTAATATGATGGTTCAGGCCTCTGTGTTTATCACTCACCCTCCACCTCTCAGGTACTCCCTACATGTGGCTCAGGTTTTTATCACTCATCCTCCACCTCTCAGGTACTGGCTACATGTGGCTGCTAATATGATGGTTCAGGCCTCTGTGTTTATCACTCGTCCTCCACCTCTCAGTTACTGGCTACATGTGGCTGCTAATATGATGGTTCAGGCCTCTGTGTTTATCACTCGCCCTCCACCTCTCAGGTACTGGCTACATGTGGCTGCTAATATGATGGTTCAGGCCTCTGTGTTTATCACTTGCCCTCCACCTCTCAGGTACTCCCTACATGTGGCTGCTAATATGATGGTTCAGGCCTCTGTGTTTATCACTCGCCCTCCACCTCTCAGGTACTCCCTACATGTGGCTGCTAATATGATGTGGAGCAACAATACACTTAATTAAAGCAAGATCCTGATTGGATCTCTTGTCTAAATCACCATGGCAACCAGCATGTAACAAGGAAGGCATTGATATTCGATGGCCTGTTACCAAAGTTTTCCTTATGAAGTGGAATCCTGTTTGATTAATTTATACAAAATATACCACTCAGCATTTGTTTGTTATCACAGCCAGTTTTTAATGCCATGCCACTCTAAACAGCTAGAATTCTTTGGTGGGTAACAATGGATACGGATTAAGTTTTCATCACAAAAATATGAAAGTATCTTCCACGTCTCATGCGAAGTGATAAAAACACTGACACATGACAATTGTCACCATTTTTTTTCCAGACAAGTTGGCTCCAAGAAGGTCGTGCTAGAATAGGACAAGCCATATCTCCTGTTAACAGTGACGACGAAGAAGATGATGACAGCACAAATAGCAGAGGTTCTACAGAAACTGATCGAAACAATGCGGGAAGTCCAGACTCGGTAACGAAGAGTCCGCCAGCAAAACGTGGCCGTATATCACCAGCTCTTGTTGGTGCTACGTCACAGGGGCAAGGCGACAAAGATTTTCTAGATTTGGATCTTGAGGATGAAACTAGCTGAACGTTTTTTGTCATGGGTCTATTTAATGTACTGCCATTTTATTTGTTTTATGTATTTGTTATGTGATCTGTTGTTAATTGGATCCAACAGTGTACGGACCTGATCACACAAAATCTTGGAAAAAAAACGACTCAACCTTGAGAGTGTATGAATGGATCATTCTGTTCTACACAAACTGTTTACATTGTGTCTCAGACATAACATAAACTCTTGTTTAGTATCCAAGGAGATTTCCTATCATTGTAACTCTAGATACTACTATTAATCATTTCATTCATGTGTTCTTCTAAACCTATTAATACAAAGATTTTGTTACATTGTAGAAGTTATATTAATGTAGTTCTTCATAATTATAAGATACAATAGGATACATAGGATATTTTATGGACGCAGGCATTAAATTGCCTCTATATCCATATCATTACTGGTATGCAGTATAAAATACATAGTATATTAGGTTATGCCTCCGGTGACTGATTTATAACTGGCAAAGTAATTAAAGTTTATCTCCCGATTTTTCCAATAATTATCTAAACTAATTTCAATCTCTACTACTGTTTTGGATTTAACAACCGACTCAGGAAGGTTATTCCAAATATCGATGATTCTAAATGTAAAGGAGTATTTTCGAACATCCATGTATTCCTGATAGACTTTATCAGTAAGTCACACTGGTAATAGTCAGTGTATAAGCTTTGTAATTATGTCTGACTAAAATCCATCTCCCTGACTTTCATTAAATAATGAAATTCATGGAAATATAAACTGTACTGGACCAAGTATTATAGACGCATCTCTTGTTTTTAGATTTCATCTTAGTAAACGATATTGTTAAAGAAGGGGACAAAAAGCTAAGCCTACTGTGTAGTTGGTAATATTTGTGGGAAATTAAATACCGTTATATTCATGGTCATTATAGATAGCACAAAATAAAGTTACCATAAAATATCTATACCTTAATCTTCGAAGATATATTACTGGTATACGTCTGTGTGCTTAGACATGTCGCCAGAACAGGGACGTCCTTGTATACGTCTGTGTGCTTAGACATGTCGCCAGAACAGGGACGTCCTTGTATACGTCTGTGTGCTAAGACATATCGCCAGAACAGGGACGTCCTTGTATACGTCTGTGTGCTAAGACATATCGCCAGAACAGGGACGTCCTTGTATACGTCTGTGTGCTAAGACATATCGCCAGAACAGGGACATCCTTGTATATGTCTGTGTGCTAAGACATATCACCAGAACAGGGACATCCTGGTATATGTCTGTGTGCTTAGACATGTCGCCAGAACAGGGACGTCCATATCGCCAGAACAGGGACGTCCTTGTATATGTCTGTGTGCTTAGACATAATGCCAGAACAGGGACGTCCTTGTATACATCTGTGTGCTAAGACATATCCCCAGAACAGGGACGTCCGTGTATACTTCCGTGTGCTAAGACGTATTGCCAGAACAGGGACGTCCTGGTATACGTCTGTGTGCTAAGACATAATGCCAGAACAGGGACGTCCTGATATATGTCTGCTTGCTGAGACATATCGCCAGAACAGGGACGTCCTGGTATACGTCTGTGTGCTAAGACATGTTGCCAGAACAGGGACGTCCTGGTATATGTCTGTGTGCTTAGACATATCGCCAGAACAGGGACGTCCTTGTATACATCTGTGTGCTAAGACATATCCCCAGAACAGGGACGTCCGTGTATACTTCTGTGTGCTAAGACATAATGCCAGAACAGGGACGTCCTGATATATGTCTGCGTGCTGAGACATATCACCAGAACAGGGACGTCCTGGTATACGTCTGTGTGCTTAGACATAATGCCAGAACAGGGACGTCCTTGTATATGTCTGTGTGCTAAGACATATCGCCAGAACAGGGACGTCCTGGTATATGTCTGTGTGCTTAGACATGTCACCAGAACAGGGATGTCCTGGTATATGTCTGTGTGCTTAGACATATCGCCAGAACAGGGACGCCAACCAATTGTTAACATCTATGCAGTATGTTTGTCCTTACTCCCACACTCATTGTTTTGTTTTCGTTATCGTGGTAATATTTACCATATATTTATCGTGTTAGAATGACTTTTCAGTGGGAGGTAAACCTATTCATGTTGTTATAAGTGGTATTCAGTTTAAGTCAATGCCTGGTAATTTTATGAATGTTGTAAGCACTATGTGCTAGCCTGATCTTAAATTGATCTCTATTATCAATAACAGGTAATGTAGCATCTTTCATCAATACAATAATTCAGGAAGTGGATAAACAACAGGAAAATCTACCAACATATCAATCTAAACCCTGTGTAATTTCCTGGATTGACAGGACTTTATAGCTATTAAACAACTTTTGTTCACAGATCTTTTTCATTCTCTTCACTACCAACACTTTTAGAAGTTTTTCTGTCGGACATTCACTTCACTATCAACATGTTTAGAAGTTTTTCTGTCAGGCTTTCACTTCACTGTCAACACTTTTAGAAGTTTTTCAGTAGGACATTCACTTCACTATCAACACTTTTAGAAGTTTTTCTGTCGGACATTCACTTCACTATCAACATGTTTAGAAGTTTTTCTGTCGGACATTAACTTCACCATCAACACTTTTAGAAGTTTTTCGGTCGGACATTCACTTCACTATCAACACTTTTAGAAGTTTTTCTGTCGGACATTAACTTCACCATCAACACTTTTAGAAGTTTTTCTGTCGGACATTCACATCACCATTAACACTTTTAGAAGTTTTTCTGTTGGACATTAACTTCCCCATCAAGACTTTTAGAAGTTTTTCGGTCAGACATTCACTTCACTCTCAACACATGAATTCATTGTTATAGTTTATGTAAATTAGCCGTTAGATTTTTATTGAAATGGATTGACTGGTCAGTTGTAGATATAATGTAGTCTGTTTCTATCTGCATACTATTTTGATATATATGATGGTTATTACCAAATAATGATCGCCAATACAGTAACTTCATCTTTCTAAGTCTTGGTATAAAATATTTATTATGTTTTTGTATATCAGTGTTTTATAAAAATTCTTTATTATGAAAAATTTACCTTTTCATGTACAGCATTGAATATTTACTGTGGAGTTATACAACTATAGGACCTACCATGCATATTGGTACCTTATTTTGTGTTTAAATGTTTAAAAAGACATGATAATTCATAGCAATATGCTTTAACAAAATTGGTTGTCTATCGTTTTAAACTTCAAACTATTAAAAGTAATTAAAAAACCTATTCGCATTCTGCATTTTATCGTGACATCTGTGCTTAATTATTACACAATTACTGATTCATGTTTTTGAATAAATTTTTAGTTCAGTCAGTTTTGTTGATAACAGAAAACAGAATTGCAGTGGTGCAAGGGAGATAATCACTTCTGTATATGAAAAACTTCTTCACATGTCTGTGGTGCATTGGCCTTCTTCATAGAAACCTTGCAGGTTGTGCTTTTGTTTCAGGCAATTTCAAAAGTGATTGTTAGTTCACCATAAAGTGTTGATGGTTAACAGCCTTGATGTTTAATCTTCCACCTTTCTGTCAATTTTTGTTAAATTTTTCTGGTAGGCTGTAAATGAATCTTTCTTGTTTTGAAATTCTCTATAGTATTTACTCATGTATTTACTCATGCCTATTTCATTTTATTTCATTTCATGGCCGCAATTTTGTCATTTAAAGCAGAGTTTTTCTTCCAGTTTCGCAAGAAGTTCTAGTTGAATTTTTCTCAGATAATGTTTCCATAAGTCTTTTGTTGTGAATTTCTCATTCTCAAACTGGAAAAAAGAAGAATATACTCACAATTAATATCTTGAATTTTGAGTTAAAATTCAATAAAATGTATTGCCATTTTTAAAGGCATTAATACATTGTAATCAAATTTTATATTTTGTGTTGGTCCATACTTTAAGATGTTAAAATGTGAGATAGAAGACTGTGCTGGGGCCATCTTGAATTCTAGAGGTTGAAGTTTATTGTGATTTTTCGGGAGTAGTATATTTTAAACATTTAGATGAATCCTTTTGGTCCTTTGAGGTTGTTTGAGAGCAGAAAAGCATGGCAGACAGATATTAAAGTCCTTTGTATACTACATCATTCTAGTCAAACTTAAATCGAGAGAAATTGTCAATCTAACAGAGTTAACACAAAAATACATGATTGATGAACATCTTTCAATGATAGGAGCAGAAAACCTCACATTTACGGGGAAACATTTGTCATTGGTGAATTTTGGGCCATTGCACCATTTTGCTGTTAGGACAAAAATAAAAGGTTGGCTATTGAGTTATATGTTTAAGTTGAAATATTTATTTGATGTAAGCTTAGAGTGAATTTAACACCAGGCAAAATTAGTAGATTTTTTAAGAGGTTAAGGAAACAAAATGGCTAAATGTTTCCTGTATACAGTAATGATAATGAAACCACGGTTAAGGCAGGAAGGTCCTTTAGAGAGATCTTGTTCTGTTGGTAATCAGGTGTTGTGTGATAAATAATGATAGCAATATTTATTGTCTTGTTTTCTACTTGTATTTATCTGAAGTTGGAAAATTGATACAATCTCCATTCTTAAAACAAGGACAGGTAATTTATACTGTATCATTGTTAACACAAGGACTTGTCTGATCATTCCAGTAACTTAGCGAGTGTTGTAACTTTCTTGTTGTATTGATCTGTGTACTGTATTTCATTTCAATCATGTCACCCTAGGATTATAATAAAAATGTGATGATAACACAATGTTTCTATATTTATTGCTGTAATTTTGATAAAACATTGTGATACCTATTAGAATTCCATTGCTATCCTTGAGATTTGAGAACTACATTCAGCAAGAGAGAGTGCTGACATTATCATCCTTCTCTGATGTTATGATATTGATATCCCATTACTCGAGCTTTCAGTGAGGTCAGTTTACTGGTGATGTTTGTTGTCTGATCTGTTAAAGAATAACATGAATTTGAGGTGTTCTATTTTTTCTTGCTATTTTCGAGGACAGAATAAAACTGTTAATAATAGGTACTTGAATACAGAGAAATTGGAAATGAAAATTGATATAGAAGTCACTGATACATTTCCTGACTTCTG